TTATGTACACTACATTATGTGCTGTCTTACAGTGGCAATGTCTGTGATGATGCACTCCCAAAGATCCTGAAGGTCTCTGACCAAAGTTGCATAAACCAAATCTTTCACATAACTTCACAGAAAAGAACCTAACAGGGTCAGATCAGGAGATCTTGGCAGCTATGCATTTGGGCATACCAGACTACAACTTGTACTTTCTCCTGTGGCAAAGCCATGATTGGACAATAATGCTCATGATTTGACTTCTGCATCAACTTTCAATATGAAAAAAAAAATCTCTGTAAAACTTAGAGATTTTCCACCAGATACCACTTGTTTTTATATATCTTAAACTCTTCATTTTTTTTGTGGTGGATTAAAATTGCAGAACACCCTGTATATCAGAATACATACTGTATATGATTAGAATGAAAGTCAATATTGAAGATTTTTTAATCCTTTATTGGAAAGGTTGGAAAGACAATCAGCATTTTAACAATGACTATTTAGATTTATTTAAGTACAAATTTATTATACTTAATAGATATTTATTAAAATAAGTCGCATTAAATATAGTTTTACATCATGATGTAACTGTATACAGAAAAGGATGCACCGATAAGCAAAATAGCCAATTACCGATTAATCGGCCATGCATTATCGGCTGATACCAATTAATCGGCCGATTAGTGTTAATAATTTATTGCATTAATAGTGTGAGATCCTGGAGTTAATTATACAGTTAATTATAATGTGGAAAAAACCCATTTTTCTCCACCTGGTATTTCCATCTCCCTCGGGTCAGGTAAACAAGAGACGATCGAATATCCTCGCAAAATCAACAATCTCTTCCTTTGTTTCTAAAATAAATCTCAACACTTAATTGTTGACGCATGGAAACTTCGACATTGTTTAAAAAGCTGAAGTGTTTCTGTGTTTAACAGAAACAAAATATATTTCTTTAACCGCTGATATTTGGACAGCAACTACAAACAATTCTCCTTTTTTAAGTGTAACAGCCCACTGGTTGAAGGATGATTTTCAGCAGGAAAGAGCTGTTTTGCAAATTGTTTCCTTTGAAGGTTCCCACACAGCTACACGAATCAGTGAACAGTTAAAAATTGTTCTTGAACAGTATAAGTTGACAAGTGATAAGATATTCTTAGTACTAAGAGATTCTGCAGCAAATCTGGTAGCTGGAATTAGGAATTGCAACTTAGAAGCATTATCATGCTTTATACATACGCTGCAGCTGACACTAAACGAATGCATATTTTCTAAACAAGATGTGAAAACTATAATCACAGTTAATAGAAATATTGTCACACATTTTAATCATTCTGCTGTAGCTGTAATCAAATTGGAAGATTTGCAAGAAAAGTTAGGTTTGCAGAAACACAAATTAATTCAAGATGTTCCTACTCGCTGGAATTCTACATACTACATGTTGGAACAGCAAAAGGCCCTTGTCACATATGCTATAGATAATAAAATTCCTACGTTGAGCCCATATCAGTGGTCTCTCGTTGAAAAAATTGTTCTACTTGTAAAACCATTCAAAGAAATTACTGTGGAAAGCCAGCAAACGAGAAGCCACTTCATCTTCAATAATTCCCACAATAGAGACTCTGAAATTATTCTTATCAAAAGCAAAGATCAGTAGTTCCTTTAGTGGCATTAATACCACAACAGAAGAACTAGAAAATCCAATAAAAAAAGATTTTCAGCATATATAGAAAACAAGTCTTTATGCTTGTCATTTTTATTAGATTCAAAATGAAATTTCAAAAAGAGGATATGCTAGAGGAAATCTCAATAAGAATTAAATTCTGAAGCTTCTACTTCTGGAGGTGATCAAGATGGAGGTGAATTTCTAAGTTTTTCTGATTTATTTGATGAATTAGCTTCTGGTAAACGAAAGAATGAAGAATAGCATGTTTTTAAAAAAAAAAAAAAAAAACGAAAGAGACGAACAAACGTTTCGATCAAGAATTAGAAACATATTTACATTTATCCCTAATTTGAGCAAAATAGCTATGAAATATTTAAGTGCCTCAGCATCTTCCATTGAAAGTGAAAAAATTTTCAGCACTGGAGGTAACATTTATGAGCCGGCAAAAAATAGATTATGCCCTGAAAATGATGAAATTCTTATGTTTTTGCATTGTAATTTAAGGGTTTTACAGTTTAAATATTAAATTTTTATTTGTTTTATATGTTTAAACTTTAAACTTATGAAACAAATAAAAATTTAATTTTTCTTCTTAACCTATTCAATACTTTTTCTTATGTAAAGTTTAAACTTTATATTATACATTATATTATACTTATAATATGTATCGATAAAAGAAATAATTTCATTAGTAAAATTTTTTTAATATTCAGATTGTCATGTAATAAATAATAAATATATAACAGAAATTTATTAGTTTTTATTACTAGCATTGTACTTAACATTCTAACAAAAATACCAAAATGTAAAATTGGCCGATTATCAAAACCGATTAATCGGGGGGGGAATGGCCGATACCGATTAATCAGCTAAGTGCCCAATACGGCCGATTACTAATTACTTACCAATTAATCGGTGCATCCTTACTTATTTCACTTAGATGTTTATGAAGATTTAAACTAATCAACATTTAAAATCATCATCAAAAAAATTAAAACAAAAACATAAATGTAGAATGTTGACAATATTTGTGATCTTTTGTTTTGTATTCTATAGTATTGTTGGTAGAGATTACAAAACAGTTTAAGTTTTGGTCAACAGTGAGCTATATTGTAAGGACTACTGAAAAGTGAGTTTTGCTGATATTATTTAAACACTTAGTGCTATCTAAGTGGAAAGAGATCCAATAACACTCTACTGACTTCTTACAATAAAGAAAATAGAATTAAAAATGTCTAAATGTAGAGCTGATTTGATGTTCTATGTTTGTGAGCAGACATTTTCAGCAATGAGCTTTGTTAAAAATAAGTATCAATCTGTATTGACAGATACTCGTGTGGGCAAATCTGCTTCTGTTATCAACTTCAAAAATCAATCTTAATATTGAGAAACTGTTAATTGAAAAGTAAGTTCAGAAACCACATTAAGCAGATTTTAAATTTGGATTCTTTATTTTTCTAATTATAATTTGAAGTTTTTGTTCTTCATTCAATAAAAAATGTTTTTAATATTTTGTCACTTTTAAACTAATGCTAGTGACTTATTTAATATTTGTTTTTACATCTACCAAACAACATATTTTAATATTTTTATTATTTTTGTTTACTTTTAATGTTATTTAATTTATCTTTAACTACTAATTTAAACTGGATGTAGGGGGTGGTAGGACAGTGGCCCGCCAAAAAATTTGTACCCATTTATAGACAAGCCTGTAAAAAAGGTTGGCCACCCTTGTTCTACAGTTTTGACAGTAGTAATCAATGCAAATAAGTGTTCACAAAGAGAAAGTATTAATGCAAATGTATCATGAACATAATATTAAAGGAATGAAGTAATGAAAAAACTATTAGTACTGTGAGTTGACAATATGAATCAAAACTACATCCTGTAATTCAGGCATATGTAAAATAATTCTAAAATAAACATAATTCTGTTTAAAAACTTTATAATTATTATTTTGTAGGAATCAGTTTTGTACTGAAAAAAATTTTAATTTATGAAATATTTCCTTTATCACTAATGGATTAGGAATTTAATTTCTTTGTAAAATAAGACCTTTCTGATTCCTGTTGATTAGTATAAGTTACATAGCATTTTAATGTGTACACATACGTAATTAAACACTTAAGTTTTTTCTGTTATATAAAATCCATTTCTTATTGAAAGTGATTACATTTTTTTTTTTAACTTAAACATTGATACAGTTGTTCACTAAATAAGAAATCTAAAAATTATTTTAAGCTCAGAAAAAAAAAAAAACACAAAATTTAAAAAAGCAAGAAAAATCACATTTTACACTTCCTATATCATGATATATGATATTATATAGTAATTCTTTACTTACATTAAATGATAATTCATAATAATGTGACTACCAACAACTGATGCATTTTGATTTTGTTGTTTTCATAATTCTTTTTTTAAAGGCTTTATTCTTGGCTTTCTCTACATATTCTTAGTTTTTATATTAGTTACATACAATTGAAAATGAAATTTTTTTATACTTATATTACTCTTAGTTGTTAATAACATACTTTTAGCATATTGTTAGTTGAATTAATTTTTATTTCATTGTACAATATATACAGTATCTTTTGAATTTTAATAAGGTTTAAATAACATTTTGTTATTTTATATAACAATATCTTAATTCTTTTCTTATGTTTGGTAAATTCAAGTAATTTTTTAAATTTTTTATTTATGCAAAATGTTTCAAATGAACAATATTAAAACACTGCTTGTCAAAGTATATTTGTCAATATAAATAGTTATTTTGAGACTAGTGTATTATTAATTAGAATAAAAAATGCATACACTTTAATCAGTTAACTGTAGATCTGTTAACACAAAGATAACTTTATTTCACACTTTTAATTCAGTAATTCATGTCCATTTTGTACAAATGCATCTTGTTATTGTTTTGATAATATTTCAGCTAAAATAGATGTGAAAATTAAAAGATTCTTAAAATTAATTATGCATCATTACACAAACATAATACAGTATATGTAAAACTTATGTATAAATTGCACCTTATAACTGTTTAGTTAGTTAATAAATTTAGTTTTCTTCCAGTCTCTTTGATATGACTAAAAGGATTTCATTTGTACAACTAAACTGATAAATAACTCCAAATTTTTCTTCAGCATCTATTATAGAGTTCTGTTTGTGTTTAGTTGGTTTATAGTTAACTTAATTAAAGTGTGTGCATTTTTGATTTTAATTAAAGAATATCTGATATTTATAATAATTATTATTATTTTAAATTATTCTTTTAGCAAATATTATAAATTAAATTAATTTTTATTATTAAATTATTAAGTATATTCTTATTTAATTCTCTTTATAGAGATTACCTACAGACAGAGCTTATTTTATTGCTAAAGAAATGGTAATGACTGAAAGAACTTACAAAAAAGACCTGGAACTAATAAATGTGGTAAGTCTGATAACATTAATTTAATTAGATAATTTTATATTATTATTTTCTGAAATAACTATTAAAGTTGATTATATAGATGGTAAACTGTACAGATTAGGAAACATTTATAAATAAGTATGTAGAATGTCTCAAAAATCTTTTTAAGTCCAAAAATTTCTAGTATAATAAAAATAAGAAATAGGAGTGTTGTACTAAATTGATTAGTAACCTTACTTAATACCACTGTAGTTAAGTTGTTGTTACTGTATTCAGTTTGTATATAATATTATATATATATATATACACTATTACATTGATCTCAATCTTATGAATTCTTGGGATCAGTACAATTTATTTAAACTAGAAATTACGTAATTATTTACATGTACAGTTCCTGTTTTCTGGTACAGTTGGTATTTATAGAAAACTTTTATTCTTATTAAAATATAGTGATTACAGTCATATTTTGCATTATTTGTGTCATGATGAAAAGAAGTTGTGAATAATAATTGTGTGTTAGAATATTTCAGCTTACATTATTCTTTTCATAAATTGGCAGATGGAGATAAAAAAATATTACATAGAGTTAAAGAATTGTATTGTATTTTATAACAATGCACTCTCACTAATCTGAACTAATTATTGTAGGGAATTATTTGGATAAGTGGAAAACTCAGATTAGTGAGACTATATATATACTGTATATACTGTATAGTCTCACTAATCTGAGTTTTCCATTTAGTTCTGTTCTTTTTATATATATATATACAGTATAAAGAAAAGGTTAACATATTTTTATTCTGTATTTGTTGGATATATTTGTTAAAATATGTAGTACATATTAATTTTATAAATTTGTTATGTTTTTAAAAAAATGTTTTGTGATTTAACACAGTGTTTTTCAACCTGTGGGTCACAACCCCCAGGGGGTCATGGGTAAAAGAAAAAAACAAGTGTTTGTAAGTCCTACACTACAATAAAAAAAAAAAACCACAATTTCAGTGAGAAGGCTGTATCTGTTTATTTTACAGTACAATTGGTTTTTCGATCGATATTTAGATCTCAACATAGAGAAAATTAAATATGTAGTTTTTAAAATTACTGATATAGTTTTAATATAACCCTGGGGGGTCGCCAGAATTTTTTAACTTCTAAAGGGGTCGCATATTCAAGAAGGTTGAAAAACACTGATTTAACATAATGAACAAAATTGGTTTGAATTAAGCAGAGTTTAGAATAGTGTAGATTTGGATTAGTGTGAGATTGCATTGTATTAGATTTGCCAGTGTTATATATTACATAGAAAGTAAAAACTGAGTTATTTCTTTCAGTTTTTGTTTTTTCACACTTGAAATGAAGTATTTATTCACAAATTAAAGACAAAGTCGCTCTAAAAATATATTTCAGACAATCACCATTTTTACATAGTGTTCTAGAACAAATAACAGACAGTTGGACCTTCCTTTTTAGGCTACACAACTGCCTACATTTAAAAAGTTCCTTAAAAAACACAAAAAAACCTATAATATTAAGAAAATTCTTTAAAATTGGAATGGTAAATCTTACGACATCATGTTAGTTCATCCTTGTGCATTTGGGTTTCTGGCTCCTTTTATCTACTGAGGATTAGCGCTGACAAATGTAGATTACACCAAGATATCCCTCTGGTGACGAATTTTAATGATGTATTTGAATTTCCGTCGGATGAATAAATTATTTTCTCACAAATTAAAGACAAAGTCGCTCTAAAAATATATTTCAGACAATCACCATTTTTACATAGTGTTCTAGAACAAATAACAGACAGTTGGACCTTCCTTTTTAGGCTACACAACTGCCTACATTTAAAAAGTTCCTTAAAAAACACAAAAAAACCTATAATATTAAGAAAATTCTTTAAAATTGGAATGGTAAATCTTACGACATCATGTTAGTTCATCCTTGTGCATTTGGGTTTCTGGCTCCTTTTATCTACTGAGGATTAGCGCTGACAAATGTAGATTACACCAAGATATCCCTCTGGTGACGAATTTTAACGATGTATTTGAATTTCCGTCGGATGAATAAATTATTTTCTCACAAATTAAAGACAAAGTCGCTCTAAAAATATATTTCAAACGATCACCATTTTTACATAGTGTTCTAGAACAAATAATTTATTTATCTGACGGAAATTCAAACATGAAGTATTTAATTTATTATTCTGTAATGTACATTTTTTCCTAATTTTAATAGTTGAAATGTTGTTACTTCTTAATTTCTCAAAAAATTAGATCAAAGTTTAGAGAATAATTATTGCTAGATTTGATTTGTTGATTTACAATAGTACACAGATACATTTCTTTATTTGCATTTTTCTAAAAGTTATTGTGTCCCAACTAGGGTTTCTCAAATGGGATCCCAGTTGTTTTTTTAACTCAGGAAATAGCTGGAAAATCCTGCAAATTTCTTAAAAGTTTACTTTTTTATTATTTTGTGTTAAGGTTGAGGAAATTTTGCAAATAGAAAGTATAATTAACTCATAAACTGTCAGAATACATTTGTATTTATTAATTTTAAACCTACTTATTAGTTTTTTTAATTTTTGCTCCATTATGGTATGTCACAAATGGTCAATAATCAATATGTAGCTTATTTGTGACAGGACTCTGAAAATTCTTTACTTGTAAGAACCTGTAATATCCGGAATAATTGTACTAATGAAAGTTTTTACATATCCTCCACATAATCTATGCACTAGTAAACTTCAACAAATTATCTTGAATATTAAATCTCACAAAAATTTAGATTTAAACATATGTCAGTTCCTACAAGTACTAGCAAAGAGTAAAAAGAAGTATCTGCCAGTTTTTGAATCAAGATAGCATTTTGTGACTAGAGTGAACATTATCATAAGTAATTTTTTTTATTGGCTACTCAAACTGTGGTCTGTGGACCAATGCTGGTATTTAAACTGTACATTAAAGGGGTGTGACAAGATTTTATTTACAATTTCATAAGTTTATATATTACATTAATAAAACTATTTAAAAAATTTTTTTAGAAACATTATTTTATAAGTATCATTTTTCTTTATTATTTAAACACTTAGTGTCAGGGGTGGACTGACAATTAAAATAAGTCCAGGAAATTACTTAAAACAGCCCACAAACTCGTCTTTTCAAAATGATTAAAACTATGTTTTGTTGTATTTTTCTTATTAATTCAGTCTAAAAATTAAAATAAAAATTGCATTTGGACTTATTCTTTCTATTTTATAATTATTTATTTAATTTCACAAAAATACTGGTACATGAAGGATTGAAATGAGAAAAAAGTGATTTGTGGACAATGTTTGAGAACACTGGGCTATAGTTTGATAGAAAATTTTTCAGTGTATAGTAGAAAGAAGAAACTTGTTATACTTGATCTTGTATTCAGTTTTTGCAGAAACTTCAGAAAATATTATGTTTTCTGTTTCTGCCCTCATTATACTATATTTCAGGCATAGGTATTCCTGGCCAAAATTCATTTTGGTTTGAAAGCAGTAGAAAAATTGTTTAATAAAACTTATATGATAGCTTCTGTTAAGGAAGCCACATATAAATAAGTTATGTCATTTTATTTTAGGCACATTTTTTATCCCTCTTCAGTCCCTTTTACAAATTCCTTTTACCAGTTTCCACTTTTTGTATTCCATTTATATAATATTTGTTTTATAAAAAAAAATTTCAGTATTTGTTATTTAAAAAACAGTGGAAAGATTGTTCTGTTTTTCCAATGTATTTACATAACGTTTTAAAAAGAACATATTACCGGAAGTGTTGAATACATTATTTTTAATTATGACTAAGATAAATACAGAACTAGTTGAAAAGTATTGAATTTAAATTAGTTCATCTCCAAGATGGCATCTAAAAGTTTACATTTTTAGACAACACAGAAACGTTTCATTTTGAACACTTTTTCTGTTATTTTTGTTTTCCTGGCTATTATATATAACAGGGAAAATGTGTCAATTGGTCAAAAAGTGACCCTTGAGATTTTTACATTTTTGGTCTCTGGCCCTTGAAACATCAAGAAATGCAAAAAATATTTGGTGATTTTTTTCCTGTATGTATGTATGTATGTATGTATGGATGTTTGTATGTGTGTGTGTTTGGAACATGATTGATTTGTTAACCACTTTAAAGCTTTAATAACTCATAGGCATTTTGTTGAAAATTTCTGAAAATTTGCAGGGAAGTTTGCATTAGGGGGTGGATGCTATTAAATTTTGGTGGATAAAGGTCTGGGGCGGAGAGATGAAAGTTGTGTCGTATTTCGAGTGGAGTCAGACTTAATGATCATTTTACTCATTATTAGCATTTACACTTTTTTATAAAACTCAACTCTATCCTGAAAATTAAGTTTTTTGTCACTTTATAATGATTAATTATATAAGAAGTTGTTTAAATAAATTATCATAATAAATTGTGCCATACACAATTTTAAATGTTGATGTCAAGAGAGTTATGCAACCTATCCTGGATTTTTTTAATAGAGAATATGTATATGAATATATATTTTATTTTCTTTGCCTTTTTTCTTTTATTTTAAGATTATTTCAATAAATATAGCAAACATTATATCTAGATTGAAACTTGGTAAAAAAAATTACACTTGCATTTTGAAACAGTGACTGTTTTCCTGCTTCAGTCTTCCTAAATCAGAAAGTTTAAGAGTCCTCTCTAATTCTGTCTTTCACAGATTTTATTTTATGTTGTCTCCGAAGTCTATACATTTGTCTGGAAATTATTTTTGGGATTTATCTGATTAAAATTTTTTAAAATGATAAATTTCTCATACCATATTTAAATCAATTATTGAAATAGTTTCACATAAAAGTTGCAACAATTGAATCACTGAGCATATAAATTCAATTTTTTATAAATTACTGTGAAAAAATATATAAACATTACTTTAAATATTCCATATAAAGTTACTTTTTATATTAAGAGTATATTATAAACTAAAGTCTGGATTTTTGGGTGCATTTTTAGAATGAATTGGGTGCTTTTAAATGCTGTATTATTAAGACAAAAACCAACAAGAAGTATTATATTTACAAAATACATAGTTGTTTATTGCAATTTACACATAAAGATGAGCATTAATTTACAACAGTAACCATTTCAATGTTCTTAAAAGTGAAGTTTTTTCATTTGGAGGATAGAATGTCTTTATATAAGGAAAAAGATTTTTCTACATTGACTGAGGCTAAGGGGGCATGTTTGATTTTTACTCGGAATTCTAGTTCAGTGCAATCCAAAATATTTTTCAAATCAGGATTTTTTGATAAACTAGATCTAAGTTTGTCCAGGGCAAAATTGTCCAGTATATTAAGTACCTGACTTATGACATTCCACTGATCCCGCATTTCAGTTCCACGTCTTTCCAGCTTGTTGATTTTATCCACCAATAACTTGTACAAATGCATGGAGTAGAACTCTGTGATCACTACTGGATTAACGACCAGTTTCATGACACTGTCAACAACCGCAAAATCACCACAAGGAAGTTCACTGATAAATGCATTAATTTTCTCAAAGTTCTTGCAGTAAAATACCACACTGTTTATCCAAGACCCCAATGAGTGACCACTGAACTGGATTGTAATGGCAGCCCAGTTACGTCTTGGTACAAGCGCTCCTGACTAGGGCATTTTCATTTTCTAAATGAAGTCGTTGGCCTTGCTATATTCTACACGAATATGTTCACATACTCAGTGTAGTACATATGCAAGACAAGTCACATGCTTTAGGTTGTTGTAGATGCACTTCAAATTTGAGAATGCTGACAACATGTAAGATGTTTGATCTGTAACGACAAGCCAAACCTTTTCATACTGGACACCATTTGGCCACAACTTGACACAAACATCATTGAAAGATTGGGACACTGTAGTTGAGTTTGTATTTTCAAGTTGGTACAATTTGAATAACGTTGGTTGTATACAGCATCCAGTCAGTGGTGTAACAAGAACGTTCAGCACATATCATTTTGTGGAATCCGTTGTTTTGCCCAGTATAAATACTACAGGATTGTCTCCAACAAAATCTAGACTTTAATTATAACTTCTTTTATTATATTTTCAGAAGTTTCTTCTAGTGTTGATTTCTATGCAAAAAAATTCAGAAAATAGCAATTGACATATTGAAAATAAACTACAATTTAAATTTTGTAATCAATATAATTTTTTTTAATTCTCTTTTTTCAACTTCTATTATTATTTAAAAAATTGAAATATAATTAAAGTTTTAATTAAATTAAATTAATTAATTAATATCATATAACAATAATTTTTGCGTATAAATCAGTGTTTATAGTGTTTCATGTTTTTACTTATTCTAATTTAAATGTATACAGTTAAAATAAAATTTATATATAAGTTAATGACAATGGATCATTTTAATAAAATATTTTATAAATATGAGATTTATGTTTATGGTAAATTAAATTAATTAATTATTCCTCTTGAATTCTTACTGTTAATTTAAAATGTTTACGCTTTAAAATATTTCAGTGTTAAAAAGAAAATATTTATTTTAAAAACAATTGAATTATTAATTATTTCAAAATATTTTAATCCTCAGTGGTTTAGAGAAGAAGTCAGTAAAGAAGAAAATATGCCAACAGATATTTTAGCAGTTTTATTTTCATTAATTGATCCATTATATGAATTTCATTGTTCGTTACTTAGAGATTTAGAACAAAGGCTTGTAGCTTGGTAAATAATAATTTATATTTACTTTATAAAATAATAATTAATATAATAAAAATGCTTTTCAAAATATTTATAAAATTTTATTAATGATGTATTATTATAAATATTTTTGAATATTATCTAATGCTCTTCAGAAATATTATTATTTCATTTGTTCGTTCTAATATCATTACTATGTAAGCCTAAATGATATTCAAAAATATTTATTATAAATGAAACATCTAATAGAAATTTCTAAAATAATTTATATTTAATATCAGTTTGTTTTTAAAAAATTTTTAATTACTAATGAAATTCTGATCATTTCTATATTTTAACGTTGATTAATATTTTACACTTTACTACAGCTTGCAAGTAAACAACTGGATTCAGCCAATAATACTATCTAAAACATCTTTTTTGATACAGTAGTTAATTTTTAATGAATGAATGTTTTTGGCTGCTTTTATCAGCCATCTTCAGATTCTAATTACAGAACATTAACCAAATCAAACATTACAACACAGAATGCCTCATGGAGTGATTCAAATTTAGCATTTAAATATAAAAATCATTGGGTATAAAATTAACCAATAAATAAACAAAAAAATGTAAGATATTACAAATGCAAATAAGGTATAGATTAATAATACATGTACAAATAAATATTAACCTCAACATAAATATCATGAAAATAACAATGCCATATATTTAAGGATGGTCACCTTTGGGAGAAAATTGTAATGATACAATATTTTCTTTGTGTTTGATAATCTGTGATTTATACAATTGCTGCTTATGCTGTGTTTATAAATTTCAATGATTTCAGATTTTGCTTACTGATGATAGGATCCTCAGTGGACTCGATTATACCTGCCTTGTCCCATTATGACATTATATGAGAACATGACATTATTCTCTGTGTTGTTGAAATTTACAAAGCAACATATGCAGCAATTGTATAAATCACAGATTATCAAACACATGGAGGATATTTTATCATTATAATTTTGTCCCCAAAGGTGACCATTCTTAAATTTATGGCATTGTTATTTTCATGATATTTATGTTGAGGTTAATATTTATTTGTACATGTATTATTAATCTATACCTTATTTACAATTGTAATATCTTTATTATTACTTTTTTTATCTATTGGTTAATTTTAAACCCAATGGTTTTTATATTTAAATGCTAAATTTGAATCAATCCATGAGACATTCTGTATTGTAATGTTTAATTTGGTTGATGTTCTGTAATTAGAATCTGAAGATGACTGATAAAACCAGCCAAATATATTCATTCCATTAAATATTATTTACTGGATCAAAAAAGATTTTTCAAATAGTATTATTGACAATGTACTGAATATTTTTTTAGGTGTTTCCAGATTATTAATAAAAATCATTTTAAATTATCTGATTATTAAAATAATTAAAAGGTGAAATTTATGGGTATTTCTAGTGACAAATTTCTTTAATTATTGATTTATATATGTAAATGACATTATAAAGACAGTCTAATAAAACCCTCAATTATATTATTGCTTGATTTCGGTAGTGTTGTAAAGATCTTTTGAAATTAAAGAAAAGCCAAGAAAAAGACTGAACTATGTAGTTGGTATTTTTTCTGCTCTAATCATTTGCTCTTAATTTTATTTATTGCTAAAGTTTCTAAGAGATTGTGACTGTTTATTTCTAGATAAAATTTCTTTGACCTAGAAATAGATAGTTACTCTCACTTAGAAACTTTGATAATTTGACTTTAATTTTTTATTAAATAATAATTTAGAAATATAAGAAATGATTTGAAACACAGAAAGAGTTATAGATTCAGATATTCTGGGAAACAAGACAAGTGAACCTACAATTCTTCATTTCAGCTCAGTGTAAACTAGTAACATTATTTTTCTTTGATCCACAATTCTCTCCGGATGTTTCTGAATTATTAATTAATGAAAAATTAAGTTAATTATTAAAATTATTTGAAAATAAATTATTCTGTCTATTTTCAGGTCAAATTGTTTTTTAATTAATTAATTTGGTAACAGAAACTTTAATCTAGAAAAAAATCCAGTAATTTTTGTTTTTTTTTTATTTATTTATTTGGCTTACTACTATTGTATTACTTAACTTGAATTAAATATTTCTCAAGCTACTTCTTTCAAGCTTCTTTTGTTTGTATGTTTTAAATACTGTCCTTTTCTTATTCTGATTTTCTAATTTGATTAAATTCTATAAAATTAATTAATATCTTCTGCTTCATCTTTGACATGAATCATTTTTTCCCATTTCTATTTATAATAATACAAATACAGTAGAGCCTCAATTATCTGACCCCTCGGTTAACTGACCGTCCTAGTCGGCAAATTTCAAATGTCCGCTATTGATGTGGCGCTACAATATTTGGCTATATCTTAGCTGCTTTAATATTATTTTTACGTGTTTTAGCTGGCAACACTGGATCAACCATGAAAGGGAGCCAGTATTTAAACGAGGCTTAACTTTCTAATTTTTAACGATACAATAGCGATGATTATTATTTTAAAATATTGTTGTTAGGCTTAACATTGATGAAAATTCAAGGCAAAGTAGGTTAATAGTGATATACTAATATACTAATTACATGGGATATAATAATATACTACACTAATAATAGATTTTTTCATACTTTTCGGTTTTCCGACCAACCCCAGTCCCCAATTAGGTCGGATAATTGAGGCTCTACTGTATATTATTTCTTGCGAATAGAATCAAATAATCTTTATCTATAATTTTCTAATTGGATTCATGTTGGAACAAAGATCAAAAATATGGCAGATTATTTAAATTACTTTTATTTTTATTTATAATGACCCTCTATTTATTTGATCTTCATTGTTCCCATTTCTTTAAATTTTTGCAGATTTACTGAGAGATTACAGAGCAACACAATTTGCATTATATCAAATTATTTTCATTTGATTTTTATTATTTGTGATACATCTGTATCAGGCAAAAACAGTTCTGTTTCTCTTATTGTAAAATTGTTAAAGTCAACACAAATTTTACTATACATATAAACTAACCTCTATATAACACATAGTTGTCTCTAAGGAAAAATTCCAAATTACTATTTGTTTGTTTGCCGTTTTTATCACATGCCATTTTGCTCCTGCTAAAATATACCTCTATGTAACAAGATGTCTGTGCATCTTGTTATATAGAGTTATAGAATAACTTGATTTTGATTGATTAGTTTTGAATTGCCTCTGATTTTTGTCAGCTGAAATTGAAAATAGTGTTCAATTTTTCAGCCCAGTTTAGTCAGATCTTTGCAATTTTTTCATGTATAAACTTCAGCTATGATATAAATTGCTACTGTTTTTAAGGAAATTATATCGTGTTTGCTCCTTTTTAGAGTTAGACTTCAGTTCATAAGTTTTGGACAGGTATTTATTTGAACTCATGTTGAGATTGTTGTTTGGATTCAATTTGAATAGATTTTGTTAGTTATTCTTGCTAAGGAAAAAATATGGAAAAGCTATGATACATAATTTTGAAACCTGATGATTATTATAGAAGGCAAAAACAATTAAATCATAAGAATGATTATTGAGAATTAAATATTGATTTAATAAGAGCAATTTCATAAATTTATTTAATAAGATAATATTTCTAATACCCTTCAAGGTGTTTTATTTATAATGTTCATTGTTTTCTGAATTTATATTTCTGTTATAATACTGCTCAAAGTTGGGACTATTTTATGCATTTTTTTAGGATTCCTTCATAACTTCTAAAAGTAAGAAGATTTATAAAAATTATTGTATGAGAGCATGAAAATACTGAAGACAAGGAGTAATTAATGTTCAAATAGATAAATCAAATAGATAAATGGTAAGAGCTGAATGCTTTATCTGTCTGAAAGATTAGTTGATAAAAGAATATTATGTATTTCTTTTAATGCATATGAATTATTTTTGTGTGCTAATTTAAAAGAAGTACAGAGTATGATTTTATCAATAGCTTCTCAGACCCATACAATACAGAAAATATTGTAAATTTTTCATGCTTTTGTGAAACATATTAATCTGTATCTTTCAAGATTCTTAGAGATAAAAAGAATTTAGAAATTTTTCGTTTCTATATAATTAAAATTTGGTTTATTTATTTTTTACTAATATATAATTTATACTTAAAACTATTCAAAATTTTCCTATAAAGTTTATTTCCTATGACTTTTTTTTCTATATTTATTACTTTAAAATAGTTTTGGATTTTATGTTGAAATGAAATAGTCTATTCTTGAAGTCATACTGTGCTAACATGTCAAACAATATATAATATTAGTTTGGCAAGTTTTTCTGTTTTAATTACAGTATTTACTGTCAGTCTTCAGGTAAAGGAGAAAGATATATTAATTATTTTAAGTACGTTATTCTTTACAAGTAATATGATATTCTCAGAAACTTTACCATTGATGGAATTATTTTATGTTGAAATGAAATAGTCTATTCTTGAAGTCATACTGTGCTAACATGTCAAACAATATATAATATTAGTTTGGCAAGTTTTTCTGTTTTAATTACAGTATTTACTGTCAGTCTTCAGGTAAAGGAGAAAGATATATTAATTATTTTAAATGTATAAAAGTGTTTAAATTTTGAATAATATAACTTCATATAGCCATGTATTATATGTAAATGTGCATATGTGCATACATATGCAATTTATAAGTATAACTATGTTTTGCATTTAGGAATATTTTTAAATTTTTTAAATAATCTATACTTCTAGTCCTATTCATAGTTTTAATAAACCCTTAGCTACACTGATGAAATCTGGCCTATACAACAACACTCACAGGGTACTGTCATATCTCAAATTTTGATAAGTTCTTTAATTGAAGTAAAATTTATAAAGTTTGTATTTTTTTCATTTACTGTAATAAATAAACTTTCTGAAGTTTAAAGATAATCAGTTATTTCAAATATAGCCAAAAATAGTTTGTAGGATCCTAAGTAACAAAAATGAAGATTTTCT